GGGGAGAACTTGTGGTTGGATAGTTTATATGAGAGACCATCAAACTGACAAAACATACCTCATTACATTCCTGTCTATTTGTGGATCCTAATAACTTTTTTTTCCCCACGTCAAATAAATTCTTCAAATAATCCTACTTACTTTGAATAATTCTTCATTCAAATACAGTGATGTCTGAACTATCATAATAGAGTTTGAGGCATGCTTAGATACCAGTAACTACTTGTTGCAACCACTGAGTGGTCTGACTGAGAAAACACCATGGACTTCACCAACATATGTTACACTGGCTGTGTATGATACAATATTCGAGATCATTTTCTTAACTATTACTGAAGCACAAGTATCATGTGAACTGACACCTAATGAACATTTATACACCGACTTGAGTTCTATCATCCTTAATTTGAATGCATGACAGTTCTCCTTCCTGGAAAAGCTTTTGTTAGCAGATCAGTTTCTCTGAATAGAGGCCAATGATGGATAATATTCCTCAGAAGACTAGAATTGTTTAACGTTTCTTAATGAGATAAATAGTGGGATCAAGTATACCCTCGGCAAGTCTGTGGATGGCACCAAGCTGAGTGGTGCAGCTGATATCACAGAAGGGTTGCCATCCAAAAGGACCTGGACAAGCTTGATAGGTGAGCGCAGGTGAACATCACAAAACTTAACAAGACTAAGTGCAAGGTGTTGTTGCTGGGTCTGGGCAGTCTTAAACACAAATACAGGCTGGGCAGAGACTGGATGGGGAACAACCCCACGGATATGGTCTTGGGGGTACCAGTGGATGAAAAAGTGGGCATGAGCCAGCAGTGCACACACTACCAGCCAAGAAAGCCAACTGTATCCTATGCTGCAGATCAGACATTTAGAAGAAAATTTTCACTATAAGTGTGACAAGGCACTAGCATACGCAGCCCAGAGAAGCTGAGATGCCCTGTTGCTGGAGCCAGGTTGGATAGAGCGCTATGCAGTCTGATCTACTGGGTGGCAGCCCTGACCACAGCAGGGGGTTTGGAACTACATGGTCTTTAGTGTCCCTTCAACTCAAATCATTCTACATCTGTGATTCTGGCACTGGGATACAGTGGCAGCATGAGAGCAATTTTACTACAATCAGACCTGGAATCATTGCTGCATACTTTAAAATAAGCAATAATTCATTATTCTAACTCACTCCAATATGTTGCCTATGCATCCTAGAAGTTGAAGAGTAAGACTAAGACAGGTCATTCTGTTCTGTTGTAGTCCAGAATCTGCACGATAATGTTAAATTTTGTGCTATATTGAAAAACAGCCCTGTTTCTGCTGCAGTGCTGCTACACAGCATGATAAAGCAGTAGCTCAGTCATCATCTGATGAATGTGTGCTCGTTCTATCTGCTCCCAACCACAGTGTTGGACTGTTTCATGAGTCTTCTAAATTTATATCAGAAAATAAAATAAATAAGCCTAATAGAAGGCTGATTTGTTGATGAAGAAATGAGAGTACAAGGTAAGAACTTGTACTAGTGACAGTCTTTAGCAGTTTCATACTGTGCTTTTCACTTCATCAGTTCTTGAAGATCTACAAGGATGCTAGGAAAAGATAAAAAAAAAAGGAAAAAAAAATTCAGGTCTCATTAAATTTTTTGTTTTCAGTGTGTTTGGAAATGATAAAACAGTGAAACTGGGTGTTCCCTCTTAAGTAGGTTGGTACATAAAATGTAGATTAGTTTTGGCTTCTTCATTCCAAAATCTTGATACTTCTTCAGTAGATCCTGCCTGGTAAAATACAGTTGATAGAAAACCTTGTTCATATTCTTGATCAATGGAAAGTATGATCTAATAGAACACACTGAATAGAATGGGCATCTGGGTGCTAATCCCTTTATTCCAGGCACCCCAAGAAAACAAAAGAAACAAGGCCATTCTTGTTTTGGTGAAAGTTTCTATTAAGCACATTATCCTCCTTCAAAATCTGTTTTCAATAGAAGATTCTTGGACTTTGAATAAAATGGAAGGTTTAAAAGGCATACTTTGACAGGCATGCATATGCCTGCTTAGGGCGTGAAAAGTGGGAGGTGTGAATATTTGTTTCTAATGGGCATCTGGAATTGAGCTGGCCTCGTTGCTATTATAGTAACAGCTTTGACACTGGGAATATATAATTCATGAAGAAAGAAGCATAAGGTGTAAACAGGAAAGTTGTCTCTGATCTTAAGGTAAGGCCATAGAAATAGGACTGGTTGTCTACAGTAGAACTGCAGGAGAAAGCGTACTAGCAATTCTGATTTCTAGAGATAACAGTAGAAAGGGTACATGTTAGTTCTGTGGACTTTGAAATCTTACAGTGTCTGTTATAAAACACATCACACATTTTCATATCTGTGAAGTGCTAGAGAAACGGGGGTGAGGATTTGCAGCATGAGAATTGGCTTGCATGCCTTTGTAGAACAGACTTCTAGGTCTTTATATTAATAACAAATGATGAGTTTTGATTCCAAAGAAGACAGAATTTCTGTGCCTGAAAGAATATTCACAGCTGAGAATTAAAATCCAGAGATTTGCAATTATGAAAATGCTTGAGGTCAGAGGAATATGAACACCTTGCTGTGTTCCAGTTAAAGTCCGCAGCATCTGCAGGTGCTGGCATACACATATCTCAGTTTTCTTACAAGGTTCAGATTCATACAAGGATAGGACCTGGTAATACTTGCTGATGCATTCATCTAATATGTCTATTACAAGAACATTTTTTTATTCCATTTACAAACATTGGTGAAACTAGGAGAAGAAGCTGGAAGTTTCTGTGCTGACTCAGGATGATATGTTTGCAAAAACTGAAAATAATTGAAAAAATGTAGCAAGGAAAATGATAGAACATGCTGTTTATCACCTGCTAATATTTCCTGGAATTAAATGCAATGTAAGAAATCTAAAGACAAAATAGAAACAATGTAAGAAGCATAAATGTGTGTTGTTCAGGGGCCTAGAAACACAGTTTTATCCTTGCCTCTGGAATAACTGTTTATGTGAAACCACCACTAAGTTTAGCAGCAAGGCCCCAGGGCACACTCTAGGGCTCAGCAGGCATTTCTGCTGGGATTTACAGAGCTGCAAAGCCTGAGCATTCGACATGACTTGTGAGCAGGTGCCTTAAGGGAAGGAGACAGCATGGTCTGAACGCAGAACTGTCCTGCAGGCAGGAGAGGAGGACAATCTCCAAGGCACCAAGGAGGAAGCAGAGATTGCCTGCGCAGGAAAACTGGGTAAATGGAACCAGAAATGGGTAAATAAACCAGAAATGGAAAGACTGGAAAATGGAAAAGCAGATGGGAAATGTAGACAACATTCAGAGGCAAGTACTGAAGATCATAGTAAATCCAGCAGCACAACTGAAACCAACAAACAACAACAACAACAAAAAGGAGAAGAGGGCAGGGTAGAAAAATCAAAGAATTCATTGATTATAGCAAGAATTTTATTTGGGGGCAATAAAAAGCAACTTAAACTCAGAGAAGTGAGGCTTGAGAGGCATGCTGGAAAAAAATACAGGAGAATGGAAACAAATTGAGCTCAGAATAAAGGAAAAATGACCATGCCAGATGTGTTAGACCACTTTAAGTGCAGCCAGCTATTAGTAACAGGTCCTGCTCTGAGTCAATGCAATCCCTACTGTCAACACTGTGGGTGATGAACTAGATGAGAGCACCCTTCCACGGAAGAACTCAGAGAAACTGGTGAATGAAGAAGAGGAGTGGTCAGCAGAGAGAAGGAAGTCAGGCAGCCTCACCTGGAATGCTGCATAAAGTCTGGGGCCTGCAACACAAGAGAGATGTGGAGCTGCTGTAGTGGGTCCAGAGGAGGGCCACAAAGATGATCAGAGGGTTGGAGCACCTTTCTGTGAAAGCAGGCTGAGGGAGCTGAGCTTGTTTAGCCTGGAAAAGAGAAGGGGAGACCTTACTGAAGCCCTTCAATGCATAAAAGGTGCTTTTAACTAAGATAGAGAGGGATTTATTACAGGGCCTGCAATGATAGAACAAGGTGTAATAGTTTTAAACTAAAAGAGGAGATATTTAGTTTAGATGGTTGGAGGAAATTCTTTACTCAGAGGGCAGTGAGGCACTGGCACAGACTGCCCAGAGAAGCTGAGCAGAGAAGCTCGTCACCCCTGGAGATTTTCAAAGCCAGGTTGGATGGGGCCCTGGGCAGCCTGAGCTGGTGGGGGCAGTCCTCCCTGTGGCAGAGAGGCTGGAACCGGATGGACTTTAAGATCCCTTCTATCCCTACAAAGCTGTTCTGTGATTCAGATTGCTGTAAGATCTTGTGGTGCAAGAACCCATGGGCTTTGCTGTGTTGAAGGTCTCCAGCCCGTCAGGAGACAGTGGTAACTGCTGAAGGTGTGCTGAGGTTTCTGCTTTCAATTTTGTTTGCCATTGTAGAAAAAGTGACACAGTTTTGTTCCAAAGCTGAGCATTCAAAAGTTTAGGTTTATATCCAACTGTCATCCCTCTGTGCACAAGCGGCATTTAAGTAACACACAGATAACGCACTGGTTTTCTTGTACAGTGGTTGAGTTTTCCATGGTCATGAGCCATAAACCAGGCACTTCTTCACCTCCTGCTTCTCAGTGTGCTGATTACATATGATTCATATCTTCATAATCCAAGAGAGAATAACAAGTTTCCACTTTGACTTTTCCATTAAGCTTATGATGATTGCTGTAACTTTATTTCCCACCATGAACTTATTTTCACACAAAAAGCATCTCCACCTTCAGGGGGATAACCGAGAAGCGGAAGAGCTGGAGCCACACGCCTGTCGGGTGGTGGCTCGACGCGACGCGTCGGCCTCACGCAGAGCCGGCCGGGCTGGGGCTGTGCGCTGTGGGACCTCGCCGGGCGGAGCGAGCGCTCCGTGCCGACCATGCCGGAGGTGAAGGCCGGAGCCCAGGGAGCCGCCGCGCCCCTTAGAGGCGCCGCCCGCCTGCCCCTCTGCCGCGGGACGAGGATCGGCATGGCGTCGTGGCGGGACCTGCTTTTCTCTCAGCTCGGCCCCGTCTGCCGCGGCGGCAGAGACTGGCCGCGGGGAGGCTTGCGGCACCCGCGCCGCCGCGACCGGGCCGAGGGCAGCCGCGAAACCACGGCATCCGCGCCGCATGAGGTGAGGGCGGGCGGGCGCGCGCGAGGGATAGGGTTCCTTCCCCGGGGCCGAGCGCTCCGGCGTCGGAGCTCATCGGGACGGCGAGATGATAAGAGGGGTTTGTTCGACAGCCCGTTAGGAGCAGAGCCCGGGATGGTTCCCCGTCGGCTGGGTGCGGGCAAGCCGTGCCCGGCTGCCGCCCCTCCTCCGGTGGCCGCGGGACGATCCCCCCTGGAGCTGCACTGTGAGGTGTGAGGTTTGGGAGAGCTGCCCGTCTGCCAGTGCTGCCGTTCGGTGTACCGCCGGCTGACGGCGTTGTTTGGGACTGGGAACTGTAATGGTTCGGATGCCGGGCTTTTGGGAAGACAGCTGTGCAGCTGTAAGTGAAGTTGTCAGATGGGACAGAGTTTTATGCTGTAACTCCAAGTGTTCATTTCTGGTGATAGAAGTGCGTCTGCTATGGAGTTTTCTTTGTGGGTATTCCAGTTGATGGATGTGATTTCCAGAAAGTTACACAGTATCTGCCTGCACACTGAGGAAACAATGCAACCAAGTTTTAAGGTGTGAGCGCCTGATATTAAATCACAAGCTCATTTCTTGGTACCAGAATAGAGAGGCTGGTTTCAGAGAATTCACTGTATGTTGGACATCATGGATAGACAAACCAAGAGGGATTGCAGTGCTACCTGCAAGAATGTGCTTATACCCGTGTAAGGCTAAAAAGAATTTAAGGAAGAATCATTTTGTTTTGCAGTTGTGAAATAGCTTTACAGGCTCTTTTTTCACACGTTTATGTGATGCTGTAACAACCTCACATAAAGTCATAGCTGTGCTATTAAAAACATGATAAGCAGCAAGTAGAGTCAATTATGTTTGAACTGAAGTTTCTTTAATCATCTTTAGGTTTGATGAGGGACAAAGGATGAAGCTTTCTCAGCTGTTACAAGGTCAGAGGCAAAGAAATTGCCCAATAGGGAATGTGCTGAAGTATGCTTTCCTAGAACTAACCAACAACAGGGGGAAATCATCAAAACTGCAGAACTGTACTAGAGAAAGACTTTTCCCTCTGTGCTCCATCCTAATTTATTATTATTATTATTATTATTATTTTCTTAAATGTTGCAGGGACAAAGGCAGGACGAGGAAAATATTTGATACTTTTTTTTTACTTTTTTTTTTTTTTTTTTTTTTTCACTTGGGATCACCAAAGAAGTAGAACCTAAAAGTCACGTAGTGGATTTAAAAGAGCAGACTTTAAAATTCTTGCAACTCACTAAAGTTCTTTGTAATCTGTATTCATGTAACCATGCTGAGCTCATGGCGGGGCTGCAGGTAACTTATTCGAAGGCACACAAATTGCCTGATTGTGGCCATAGCATGCGGCCATAGCATGCTACTCTTTTGTCACAAAGAGTTGCTGTTTACCTTTGTGTAATCACTATGGCAGATGCTCAGGGACGATTGAAAACAAGTTGCAGTCTTCATGGGGCCAGAATCATCTTTGTTTTAAAGTAAGGTCTTTAAAATGGGGTTTTGGTACACAGTAGCTTGTCAGGGGAAGGTTGCAATTGTAGGAGAGAAGGCTGGTACCTTCAGCTTGTTATCAGCGCCACTCTGAACGAGGCTGAAGTTATTAAAGGGTTGGCAAAGATGATGGAGTACTGCTGTATTCTATCTGCAGTGTCCACCAGCATATGTCTGGTCTTGGTGACATCTGCTGTACATGAATGAAAACTTCCCAGGAGGAAAACCTTAAGCAGAAGGGGAAAAGAACCTATGTGCAATATTGTTCCTGTAACTTTTCAATACTACTGGAGAGAGGTGAAGCGTCAGAAACATATGACGAGCAATAGAAAAGAGTAAAGTACGTAATCTGTTCTTTCATTTTTAACATTCTTTGGAGGAATGCATGAAGAAACTGATGATTGTTTGTCCGCTTTTGCCCAGACGTATAAGTTATGAAGTAGAAGAACTGGGATAAGTACAGGGATAATCTGCTACAAAGTACTTCAACTCCTGTTAGCATTCACAGCTCCATGTACTATGTTCCCAAAGAAATGTTCAGTGGGAACCTGACTGTTAATATTTCTTTCTGACTGAGCAGTTTTGAGAGTTGAACTGAGATCATTTTGATGAGAACCAAGAAGGCAGTTTGGTGGTTTTTCTGCAAGTGGTCAGTTCTATGACAACACAAAAAATGCAAATGAATGTTAAATCTTCTAAACATATTTATTACTTTTATTTTCTTTCAATAATATGAACAGTTACACATAAATCGTAAGTATTTTATATCAGACAGCTATTTTCCAAGAAATATATTAATTCATTTATCCTAGAGGTGAATTGTATCAGATGAGCATATATTGTGAGGAGGAAAGGTCTGGAATTACAGCAGTAGCTAGATGAGCTAATCTCTTTCATCTAAGCTTGAATACAGATGCTGGCACTAAAGTCTTCCTTGGTATTGGTCTTGACATGACAATGTGTCTGGTTCACACTTCAGCTTAGATTTGTGAAGGGTCAATCTAACTGACAGAGTCCTCTGGAGTGTCATACAAAAAACCAGGAGTGGAACACTCCAAGGAGAGTTCTCTGTGTTCTCCTAAATGATCCCACTTTCCATCCTGCCTTTTCACGGCTCAGTTAGGTTTAACTTGCAGCACTGTGTCTGCGGAGAAAGTCAGTCCCCACATGATGCCACATGGATCCTAGGCCTTTGGTTCTCTCCATGAGGGTGGCAGGTCCCACCTGGGTAATCCAATTTATGGAGAATTGAGTTTGGACTTCAGTCAGCTTTCAGTGTAGTGGGAAGTTGGGGTGCATGGGGTGAAACTTTTTCATTTTTTCTCAGTGTTGTTTTTCAAGAAGACCTCCCTTAACTGTTGTGTAAAGCTCCCCTGATATCACAAGGTGATAAATGAACATGTTTCTGTGTAACGGATATACTAGATGAACTCTTGTGATCTGCTCTGTGCTTTGAATTACCAATTCTTTTTTTTTTTGTGTTCTTATCTCTACTATTTTAACTCAGTTATTCAGAGTTAATCAGTTATTGAGAAGCTGATTCTTAAGTTAGTTCTAAAAGAGACCCCTTGAGACAGCCACAGCTCTAAGGAAAGTGCTTATACACCAAGAATGGCAGGGTTTATTAAGCTTTTTTCATCATAATGATAGATTCAGTGATATTCTGTGATATGATTCAGTGATTCTGCAGTATGATTCTGTAGTTGCTTTTGCCAGTGTAGTTCCTGGTTTATGTTCTTGAGCTGTCTGATTCCCTCTGTCCATTATGCAGGCATAAAAGGAGGCGTCTGAAAATACTGTCTGGGGCTTCTTGCTGCTCTTGTCTTGGGACTGAAGATAGACAAACAGGTAGATGCGATCCAGTAAAAAGGGTTTTTAACATGCATCTCGATGTTTCAAATCGTGCCATCAAGTTGCTACTGGGATGGGTACTTCTGTTTTTCACTAATTAGTTACTATCAGTGATGAGAATAGAGTTCAGTCCACTTGTGCACTGCTGCTGTTTGTGGCTCCTGGTGTAATGGTCTGCAACTGTGCAAACAGCTGGGCTGTGCCATAATGCCAGCCCTGCAGAGTCAAAAAATGACACATTTCATTACATAAGTGGGTTCCTAGGTGCTGATAGCACTGGGGAGTATCCAAAGGGGATTTGGTCACTTCCATAAAGAGTTTGTTCCCAACTGTGACTTTAATGTCAGTTGGATTAGGCTGTGTTTATAAGGTTTGATTGCAGCTATAATTTTTTTACCAGTCCACTATAAAGTGCTGTTGTTGTTTATACTTTATGGCACAGTTTAACACCCAAAGAGAGATAGAGGAGCTTGTATCAGCAGACACCAAATACTTGCAAGATGTATCTGCCCACCATCTCATCAACAATCGCTGGAAAGGCTGGGTGCCAGAACCAGTCCCCTGGATTTAACTGAGCAGAGAGTGCAGGATGTGCAACTGGAGGATGGGAGGCCAGGCATCTGAGAGCACCTAGACTGCACAGGAGCCCTGCCAGGTCTCCTGCTGCTGTTTGCACAGCAGCTTGAACAAGGCCTAGTTGCTACTTTTGACTCTCCAAACCCTGGAGAAAAGACCTTTGGCTGCTCTGCCAGCCTCTGGCACGCAGAACGGCTGGCAACGCTGGAGTTACAGTGGGCGTCTTTGCACATGAGGCTGAGGGATAGGTTTTGACAGACCCGTGAAAAGCCAAAGGGTGTGCTTAGATGGCCTCTGTGGCAAAGGGGCAGGATGATACCCCTATCTCCATGGCCCCGCACTTTCAGCTGCTCCCCAGCCATGAGTTCATACTAGGATTTAAAATTTAGTGAGATTTATATTTAGAGATAAGATAGGTCCGCAAGAGAAACTTTTTTTGTGGGGGGGAGGGAAGGAGTGCTAGGGTGAACTTAACTGAGGAGGGCAGCAGATGCCCAGCTGGAAAATATAGAACCGTGGCTTCAGTCTTCTTGACATTCTTGGAGGTCATCAGAACTGTGTTCCCCCTCTTTGTAAAATGGGATTTTGGCACTGTGAAAAGCAAAACTCTTTCACAGTATGAAATTTGTGTGCATGTCCAGCCATAAAGTTTCATTAGAGTATGAGACAAGCAGCAAAACAAACAGCACTGTCAGGAGTGTCTGCAAATGGCCAAGTGGCTTCAAAAGCCAGTAGTCTGCTGTCACTTCTTGGCACCTCTCATGTTTCTTGCAGGTGAATTCTACAGTCTGTATTTGTTTTCCTTTTGTCAGTAACTTCAGACACTTTGTCTTTGGAGGGTCACCTCTCTATCTAATACTCTTCTGTTTTGAAAATAAAAAATAAATGAAAGAAAGCTCTGAATTTACCTGCAGGTGTCATATGTAACTTCTTTCACTTCTTCCTGAACACCTTCTCTTGGTGAAGAAAAACTTATATAATTAGTCCAAAAGACAAGAGAAATAAGAAAAGAGGAAAATTTTCTATAAATATGGGCATAAATTACATTTCAGTGTGACTTCATACATAGA